GGTGGTTTTGGGGTATTTGCTGACCCAGGGTTCTTTTGGGGTGGTTTTGGGGTTTTTGGGGTATTCATTGACCCAAGAGATTTTGGGGGCAGTTTTGGGGTTTATTGGGTTATTCACTGACTCTGGGATTTGGTTTTTTTGGTGGTTTTGGGGTTTTGGGGTATTTGCTGACCCTGGGATGGCTTTGAGGCAGTTTTGGGGGTTTTGGGGTATTTGCTGACCCTGGGATGGTTTTGAGGCAGTTTTGGGGTTTTGGGGGGATTTGCTAACCCAGGGTTTTTTTTGGGGTGGTTTTAGGGTATTTGCTGACCCAGGGGTTATTTTGGGGTGGTTTTGGGGTTTTTGGGGTATTCACTAACCCAAGAGTTTTTGGGGGCAGTTTTAGGAATTTGGGGGTATTTCCTGACCCTGGGATTGAGATTTTTGTGTGGCTTGGGGTTTTAGGGTATTTGCTGACCCAGAAGTTTTTTGGGGTGGTTTTGGATTTTTGGTGTATTTCCTGACCCTGGGGTTGTTTTTTGGGGTGGTTTTGGGGTATTTGCTGACCCTGGGATGGTTTTGAGGCAGTTTTGGGGGTTTGGGGATATTTGCTAACCCAGGGGTTTTTTTGGGGTGGTTTTAGGGTATTTGCTGACCCAGGGGTTATTTTGGGGTGGTTTTGGGGTTTTTGGGGTATTCACTAACCCAAGAGTTTTTGGGGGCAGTTTTAGGAATTTGGGGGTATTTCCTGAACCTGGGTTTGGGTTTTTTTGTGTGGCTTGGTGTTTTAGGTTATTTGCTGACCCAGAAGTTTTTTTGGGGTGGTTTAGGATTTTTGGTGTATTTCCTGACCCTGGGGTTGTTTTTGGGGTGGTTTTGGGGCATTTGCTGACCCTGGGGTGGTTTTGAGGCAGTTTTGGGGTTTTGGGGTATTTGATGACCCAGGGTTTTTTTGAGGGGGTTGTGGGGTTTTTGGGGTATTTGCTGACCATGGGGCTGTTTTGGGGTGACTTTAGGGTTTACTGGGATGTTTGCTGACCCAAGGGTTATTTTTTGGGGTCATTTTGGGATTTTTTTGGTATTTGCTGATCATGAGGCTTTTTGGGGGTGGTTTTGGGGAATTTGCTGACCCAGGAGTTTTTTGGGGGCACTTTTGGGAGGTTTGGGGGTATTTGCTGACCATGAGTTCTTTTTGGGGTATTTTGGGGGGTTTTGGGATAGTTCCTTATCCAGGGGTTGTTTTTGAGGTGGTTTTTGGGTTTATGGGGTGTTTGCAGACACTGGGGTTCTTTTTTTTGGGATGGTTTTGGGGTATTTGTTGACCATGAGATCTTCTTGGGGTGTTTTTGGGGTTTGGGGAATTTGCTGACCGTGGCATTGGTTTATTTGGGTGGTTTTGGGGTATTTGCTGACCCTGGGATGGTTTTGAGGCAGTTTTGGGGGTTTGGGGATATTTGCTAACCCAGGGTTTTTTTTGGGGTGGTTTTAGGGTATTTGCTGACCCAGGGGTTATTTTGGGGTGGTTTTGGGGTTTTTGGGGTATTCACTAACCCAAGAGTTTTTGGGGGCAGTTTTAGGAATTTTGGGGTATTTCCTGACCCTGGGATTGAGATTTTTGTGTGGCTTGGGGTTTTAGGGTATTTGCTGACCCAGAAGATTTTTGGGGTGGTTTTGGATTTTTGGTGTATTTCCTGACCCTGGGGTTGTTTTTGGGGTGGTTTTGGGGCAAGGGTTTATTTTGGGTCAGTTTTGGGGTTTTTGGGGTATTTGCTAACCCAGCTTTTTTTCTTTTTTGAGGGGGTTTCTCGCCCCCAGATGAGTTCGACTTCTTCCCATTGGTCATCGGCGGCGGCGTGGGCGTGGTCTTGCTGCTCCTGGTGATCTTATTGGCTGCTTGGCTGTGGCGGAGGAGGAGGGGTGAGTGGGGGCAGGGGAGGAGTTGGACCCCAAAATGTCCCCAAATCCCCCATTTTAACCCTAAAATTCCCCTTGTCAGGCAGAAATTAGAGAATTTTGCCCCTAACAGCAAAATTTTAACCCAATTTTCTGTATTTTGGTCCAAAATTTGGCCATTCTGACCCCAAATTCCCCACTTGAATCCCAAAACTGCCCCCAAATTTCCCATTTTAATCAAAATTTCCCCAATTTAGCCCAAAAAAGACCTTTTGTCCCCAAAGAGCCAATTTTGACTCAAATGTCTACATTTTACTCTAGAATTGACTCTTTTGCCCCAGATTTCCCCATTTTGACTCCAAAATTGTCCCCAAAGTGCCCATTTGGACCCAAATTTCTCCAGTTTTGACCAAAAAATTGACCCTTTTGCCCCCAAATTGCCCATTTTGATCCCAAATCATCCCCAGACCTCCCATTTTAACCCAAATTCCTCCCTTTTACCACAGAATTGTCCATTTTGACCTCCAAATCTCTCATTTCAAACCCAAAATTGTCCCTTTTAGCCCAAAAAATAACCATTTTGCTCCAAATCGCCCATTTTTACTCCCAAATTTCCCTGAAATCCCCATTTTAACTCAAATTTGTCAATTTTACCCCAAAATCAGCCATTTTTTACCCCAACTTGACCATTTTAGCCCCATTTTGACCTTAAATTTCCCCATTTATATCCAAAAATTAACATTTTCCGCTCAAAATTGCCCATTTTGACACCAAATTGCCCATTTTGACCCCAAATTTCCCATTTTAGTCCAAAATTAAGTTTTCCCCCCAAAATTGCCCAATTTTCTCCTCCAATTTTCTCCTTTGGTCCCAAAATTGGCCATTTTGCCCCAAAATGCCCATTTTGACTCCAGATTTGCCCCTTCTCTCCCAGAACTGCCAGTTTACCCCCAAATTCCCCAAAATTGCAGATTTTCTCACCAAAAATCCTTTTTGCCCTAAAACACCCTTTTGAATCCCAAAATTGAGCTCTTTTCACCCCAAATTTCTCATTTTTTGTCAAAAATTTCCACGTTTTCCCCAAACTTTGCCCTTCTGCCCTCAAATCACCCATTTGGATCCCAAAATTCCCACATTTTCCCTCAAATCCACACATTTCCCCCCAAAAATCCCACATTCCCCCCAAGATTCTAATTTTCACCCTAAATTTCCCCTTTTTGTCCCAAATCAAACCCTCCCTCTCCCACACTCCAAATTTTCAGTGCCAAATCACCCCAAAATTGCCTTTTTTCCCCCTCAAATCCCCCATTTTTGCTCCAAATGCTCTATTTTGAGCCCAAAACTTTGATTTTGCCCCCAAAATTCCTCATTTTACCCCAAAAATCACCATTTTTGTACCAAATTTCCTCTTTTACTCCAAAATTGTCCCATTTTGTCTCTAAACCTCTGCAACCCCCCAAAATTTAGCTCCCAAATCTCCATTTCTCACCTCAAAAATCCTCAATTCCCGCCAGATCCTTTTTCCTACCCCAAATTTTTTTTTTTTCCCCCAAAATGGGTCTTTTTGCCCAAAATGTTGGATTTTCACCCCAATCCAGGGCGTTCCCGCTGGCGGGGGCTGCGCCCCGGCGACGACACCGGGACCCTCCGCATGGGGGACCTCGAGGCGGCCGCCTGAGCCAGGCCACGCCCACCAAGATGGCCGCCGGTGCGCCCAGACCATGCCCCCAAGATGGCCGACAACTCGCAGACCACGCCCCCAAATGATGCTGAGACCACGCCCCCAAGATGGCTGATAATTCGCAGACGACGCCCCAAAAATGGCATCAAGACCACACCCCCAAGATGGCTGACAATTTGCAGGCCACGCCCCCAAACAATACTGAGGCCACGCCCCCAAGATGGCCACCAGCTCAAAGGCCACGCCCCCAAAATGGCTGAAAAAACAAAGGCCACACCCGAATATGGCTGACAAAATAAAGGCCACGCCCCCAATATGGCCAGTAAGGCTGAGGCCCCGCCCCCAAAATGGCGGAAGTGGGTGGGGCCAGGCCAAGGCAGCCAGTGGGGATTGGTGGATCCGATGGTGCTGTGTCCTGATTGGTCCTTTTGGATCTGGGGGTTGTTTATGCAAATGAGATGCTAATGAGGGGCTGAAGATGGTCTCTGCAGTGGTGCTGGGGGGTTGGGGGTGTTTATGCAAATGAGATGCTAATGAGGGATGTGGGGAGTCTCTGGAAGTATTTTGGGGGAAATTTAGGTGTTCTTATGCAAATGAGATACAAATTAAGGGCTTGAGAGAATCCTTGGAAGGGTTTTGGGGGTTTAGTGTGGATTAAGGTCTTATGCAAATGAGATGCTAATGAGGTACCCAGAATGGCTTCTCGAGGGGCCCTGTGGGAACTTGGGGCTGTTAAGAAGCATTTATGCAAATAAGATGCAAATTAGGGGTACAGGGTGGTTGCCTGGGGGGTTTTGGGGACGTTTGGGGGGAAATGAATGTGTTCTAATGCAAATGAGATGCTAATGAGGGGCTGTAGACAGTTTCTGCAGTAGTCTTGGGGAGATCGAGGGGGTGTTAAGAAGCATTATGCAAATGCATGCAAATTAGGGCTGCAGGGGGGGTCTCTGGGTGGGGTTTGGGGACTTTTGAGGGAACTTAATGGTTTCTTATGCAAATGAGATGCTAATGAGGGCTGTGGGAGACTTCTCTGTGGCAGTTGATTATATTAAGGATTTCTTATGGAAATGACATGCTAATGAGGGGCACAGACCAGTTACTGGATGGGTCCGGGTGGTATTTGGGGGCTGTTAAGAAGCATTTATGCAAATGAGATGCAAAACAGGGCTGCAGGCAGGTTCTCTGAGGGGGTGTTTGGGGAAGGAAATTAATGGGTTCTTATGCAAATGAGATTATAATGAAGTGCACAGGACAGTTACTTGATAGGTCCTGAGAGTGTCTGGGGCACATTTATGCAAATGAGATGCAAATTAGGTCAGGAGTGCCTCTGGGAGTGTTTGAGGGGAGGAAATTAATGGACTCTTATGCAAATGAGATGTTAACGAGGGGCACAGGACAGTTACTACTTGATAGGTCCTGGGGGTGTGTGGAGCACATTTATGCAAACGAGATGCTAATGAGGGGGGATGGGAGCATCTCCAGGGGTGTTTGGGGGGAGGAAATTAATGGGTTCTTATGCAAATGAGATGCTAATGAGGGGATTGGTCTGGGCTGGGCTGGGACCGACAGGTGCCGGGATGAGCCAGAATCGGGAACGGCGGGACCGGGATCGACGGGATCTGCTGGGATCCGATGGGATGGGATGGGATGGGATCTACCGGAACGGGGATCGGCTGGGATCAGGGATCTGCCGGGATTGGGGTTTCTGGATCAGGGATCCACTGGGGATGGGTTCTGCCAATCCAGGATCTGCTGGGTTTGGGGTTTCTGGAACTGGGCTGGGATCCGCTGGGATGGGATCCACTGGGCTTGGGGCTTCTGGAACGGGGAACTCCGGGATCCGCTGGAACCAGGATCCGCCGAGTTTGGGGTTTCTGGAACTGGGATCTGCTGGGACGGGATCTGCTGGGATTGGGGTTCTGGATCTGGGAACTCCGGGATCCACTGGAGCCGGGATCTGCCGGGTTTGGGGTTTCCGGGTCAGGGATCTGCTGGGATGGGATTCGCTGGGTTTGAGGCTTCTGGAATGGGGAACTCCAGGATCCACTGGAACCAGGATCCGCCGAGTTTGGCGTTTTCTGGTACTGAGAACTCTGGGATCCACTGGATCTGGGATCTGCTGAGATTGGTATTTCTGGAACTGGGATCTGCTTGGGCTGGGAGCTGCTGGATCTAGGATCTGCCAGGTTTAGGGGTTCTGGAACTGGGAACTCCGGGATCCACTGAACTGGGGATCTGATGGGTTTGGGGTTTCCTGGAACCGGGATCTGCTGGGTTTGGGGTTTCCTGGATCAGGGATCTGCTGGGGCTGGGGTCTGCTGGATCCAGGATCCACTGGGTTTGGGGCTTCTGGAACTGGGCTGGGATCCGCTGGGATGGGATCCACTGGGCTTGGGGCTTCTGGAACGGGGAACTCCGGGATCCGCTGGAACCAGGATCCGCCGAGTTTGGGGTTTCTGGAACTGGGATCTGCTGGGACGGGATCTGCTGGGATTGGGGTTCTGGATCTGGGAACTCCGGGATCCACTGGATCCAGGATCTGCTGGGTTTGGCGTTTCCGGGTCAGGGATCTGCTGGGATGGGATTCGCTGGGTTTGAGGCTTCTGGAATGGGGAACTCTGGGATCCACTAGAATCAGGATCTGCCCAGTTTGGGCTTTCTGGTACTGGGAACTCCGGGGTCCACTTGATTTGGGATCTGCTGAGATTGGGATTTCTGGAACTGGGATCTGCTGGGGCTGCGATCTGCTGGGATGGGATCCACTGGAAGTGGGATCTGCTGGGATGGGATGGGCTGGATCAGGGATCTGCTGGGATGGGATCTGCTGGGTTTAGGGCTTCTGGAACTGGGAACTCTGGGATCCACTGGATTGGGAATCTGCTGGGTTTGGGGGTTCTTAGATCCAGGATCTGCTGGGTTTGGGGTTTCTGGAACTGGGATCTGCTGGGGATGGGATCTGCTGGATTTGGGGCTTCTGGAATGGGGAACTCCAGGATGCACTGGAATCGCGATTTGTCAAGTTTGGGGTTTCTGATACTGGGAACTCTGGAATGGGATCTGCCAGGATTGGGGTTTCTGGATCTTGGAACTTCAGCGTCCACTGGATCTGCCAGGTTTGGGGTTTTCTGGATCAGGGATCTGCTGGGATGGGATCTGCTGGGGTGGGTTTGGGGTTTCTGGAATGGGGAACTATGGGATCCACTAGACTGGGGATCTGCTGAGATTGGGATTTTTGGAACTCTGATCCACTGGGGCTGGGATCCGCTGGGATGGTATCCATTGGAAGTGGAATCTGCTGGGATGGGACAGGATGGGCTGAATCAGGGATCTGCTGGGTTTGGGGTTTCCTGGATCAGGGATCTGCTGGGGATGGGATCTTCTGGATCCAGGATCTGCTGGGTTTGGGGTTTCTGGAAGGGGGAACTCTGGGATCCACTAGATATGGGATCTGCTGGCTTTGGGGTTTCCTGGATCAGGGATCCTCTGGGATGGGGTCTGCCAGGTTTGGGGTTTCTGGAACTGGATTTGCTGGAAGTGGGATCTGCTGGGTTTGGGGTTTCCTGGATCAGGGATCCGCTGGGGATGGGTTCTTCCGGATCCAGGATCTGCTGGGTTTGGGGCTTCTGGAACTGGGCTGGGATCTGCTGGGATGGGATCTGCTGGGTTTGGGGCTTCTGGAATGGGGAACTCCGGGATCCACTGGAACCAGGATCCACCGAGTTTGGGGTTTCTGGAACTGGGATCTGCTGGGATGGGACGGGATCTGCTGGGATTGGGATTTCTGGACCTGGGAATTCTGGATCCACTGGAACCGGGATCTGCCAAGTTTGGGGGTTCCTGGATCAGGGATCTGCTGGGGTTGGGATCTGCTGGATCCAGGATCCACTGGGTTTGGGGTCTCTGGAACTGGGAACTCTGGGATCTGCTGGATCCTGGAGCCATCAAGGCCAGGGGTTGGGATCTACTGGATCCGGGATCTGCCACGTCTGGGGTTTTGGGAGCTGGGATCTCCGGGATCCTCTGGATCTGGGAGCAGTCAAGGTCGGGAGATTAGGATCTGCTGGGTTAGGGGATTCTGGGTCCAGGATCTGCTGGGACAGGATCCACTGGGGCTGGGATCTTCTGGATCAGGGATCAGTGGATGCAGGGATGACCCCAAACTGGGATCTCTGGAACTGGAATCTTTGGGATCTCCTAGACCTGGGAGCTGTCAAGGTTGGGAATTTGGGATCTGCTGGATCTGGGAACTGCTGGGACTGGGGTTTCCTGGATCCAGGATCTGCCAGGTTTGCGGTTTTGGGATCTGGGATCTCCAGGATACTCTGGATCTGGGAGCTGTCCAGGTCAGGAGGCTGGGATTTGCTGGGACGGGATCTGCTGGGCTTGGGGTTTCTGGAACGGTTACCTGGGATCCACTGGGGCTGGGATCTGCTAGATCTGGGATCAGTCGGGACAGGATCCACTGGATCGAGGATCTGCTGGATCGAGGATCTGCTGGGTTTGTGGTTTCTGGATCTGGGATCTGCCAGGATGGGATCCACTGGGGCTGGGATCTGCCAGGTTTGGGGTGTCTGGAACTGGGATCTGCTGGGATCTACTGGGATGGGGATCTGCCAAGTTTGGGGTTTCAGGGGCAGGGATTGGGGACCCACTGGGACAGGATCTGCTGGAACTGGGATCCACCAGGTTTGGGGTTTCTGGAACAGGGATCTCTGGGATCTGCTGGATCTGGGAGCCATCAAGGTTGGGAGGTTGGGATCTGCTGGGGCTGGGATTTCTGGGTTCAATATGTGCTGGGACGGGATCCACTGGATCTGGGATCTGCTGGGTCAGGGATCAATGGATGCAGGGATGATCCCAAACTGTGATATCTGGAACTTGGATCTCCAGGATCTGCCGGGTTTGGGTCTTTTGGGTCAGGGCTCAGGGATCCACTGGGGCTGGGATCCGCTGGGTTTGGGGTTTCTGGAACTGGGATCTGCTGGGATGGGACCCAGTGGGGCTGAGTCTCGGGATCTCCTCTGGTCAAGGTCACCTCGAGATGTATTAAAAGTCTCTTTTCCCCAACCCAGCAGCCGAAGAAGGAGTCAGAAGTCTTCGGTTCACATTCTCAAGGTTGTTTATTATTTCTTATCTAAAACATTTTCTGTCTGGCTTGCTGAGGTCTGTTCAGCAGGTCAGTCCGAGGTACACGGCCCGCCCACGGGGCTGGTGTTTTCTTTTTATACTACAAATTACGTATTCGATGTTTACAGTTATTTTCCAATACTTGTCACCTATGTTAGACTGTGACTTTC